AACTTAAAGGGCCAAGCCAATGGCAGCCTGACAAAGTTAAGCCCCCCCTTTTGAACCACAGAACCCTCACCCTACACCCCAAACCGATGGCCTCATAAACCCTCTATATGCCCCACCAACCCTGACCCTAAACCCCAAACCCCAAACCCCAAACCCTAAACCCTAAACCCTAAACCCTAAACCCTACATAAGCCCCCCCCCAAGCGGGCGGCAAGGCCTGGAATCGCCATGGAATGAATATGAGCATTTCCCAAAATAGGGGTACCCTTTGTATGCCCTAAACACTTCACTAAACCCTAAGCCCTAATTAAACCCTAAACCCTAAACCCTAAACCCTAAACCCTAAACCCTAAACCCTAAACCCTAAACCCTAAACCCTAAACCCTAAACCCTGGACTAGAACCCCCTGAAAAAAAAGACCCCCCCAAGAAGGGTACCCCGATTTTCGGAAACCCCCATGTGGGTTTAGGCCTCGGTCTAAACCCTAAACGTCGGGGTGGCTAAGAATGCCTTAGACATATGATCATAGATGAGATGCCTGCCATCGGGCCATAGCTGCACTTCACATGATTCGACGCCTTCGAAACTTATCTCTACCCTGACCTTCACAGCGTCTGCGCCATATCACAGCAGAACCATATAAGACCTGAAAAACCGGCAGACTCCATTTAGTCCTATCAAACCCAATTATTCAACAACATTAAACCATACTCCGTACAAAATCAAAATAACCCATGTTGGGACAAATTATAAGCCCCACCCGAATCAACACAACAAACCCTAAACCCTAAACCCTAAACCCCAAACCCTAAACCCTAAACCCTAAACCCTAAACCCTAAACGGCACGCCAGGCAGCGCGTCCAGGCTGAGGCCAAGGGCTGCGGACAGCCGCTGGAGGCTCTCGGGCTTGGGTCCGGGATGCACCTGCCAAGCTGTGGGGTAGGGTTTAGGGTTTAGGGTTTAGGGTTTAGGGTTTAGGGTTTAGGGTTTAGGGTTTAGGGTTTAGGGTTTAGGGTTTAGGGTTTCGGGTTTCGGGTTTCGGGTTTGTAGGGTGTGTAGGATTTGTAGTGTTTGTAGGGTTTGTAGGTTTTATGGTTTTATGGTTTGTAGGATTTGGGGTTTAGGGTTTGTGCAGTTTCGGATTGAGGGTTTGTAGGGTTTGGGGTTGGTAGGGTTTAGGGTTTGGGGCTTGGGGCTTACGAGAAGGCTTGTAGGGTTTATAGGTCCTGTCGGAAGTGCAGTTGCAGGGTATCAGTGGGGGGGGGGGGGGGTTAACGGCTTAGTGAAACTTATCGGATTTAGACGGCTTTTTTGGGCCGGGCTTACAAAGTTTACAGCCCTTGCAGGGCGTACAAGATGTATGGAGCGGGGCTTGCGGGTCTTGGGCCCTGAGTGTTGCGTGATAAGGCTTTTGGGCTTTAGCGTTTGGACCCCAGGGCGCTCTTGACAAAGCAAGGCTTCAATGCCATAAAATTTCAACCCAACCGTGGATCCTTAAGGGGTTTAGGGTTTGTAGTTTAGGGTTTAGGGTTTAGGGTTTAGGGTTTAGGGTTTAGGGTTAGGGACATAAGCCCGCGCCTGACTTCGGGGTTGCAGGGCTTACTTGGAAGCTCTTTTGACTTAGCAAGTCCACTTAGTGTCACCATGACAGCCTCTTCGAATCCCCATAACCCACCTTGCTAACCCTACTTACTAACTCAACAGGGCTTCCAAGTAGGCTTGCCCACACTACTCTACTTCCACAAGCGCTCGGGCAGCTTAATACAGGAGGCTAGATACTTACCACTACTATCCCCTTAAACCCTAAACCGTAAGCGTAAGCCCAAACCCTAAACCCTAAACCCTAAACCCTAAACCCTAAACCCTAAACCCTAAATACACAGCCAAAGGCGCCCATCACAAGCAAAGTGGCCGCCCCTATTTCAGCTCCTCGATCTGAAGTCCCCTCTTTGAAGTGCTTCTGTAATGCAACCCCAAATGCTCGGGTTTAGGGTTTAGGGTTTAGGGTTTAGGGTTTAGGGTTTAGGGTTTAGGGTTTAGGGTTACAGCCCAGCATGTTTTAGGGCATGCGTTTAGGGTTTAGGAATCAGGCTTAGAATGCTTCGCGAAACCAGAGAGCAGAACGTATTGAAGCGATCGTATAGAAACAAAGAGATATAAATTCCAAAACCCCAAGCCCGGAGCCCTGCACCCGGCAAAAGCTGCATGAGCCCCTAAAGCGACAATATGGGAACCCCTGTAAGGCCCAAGCATATACTACATAGGTACCCTAAACCTTGAACCCGAAACCCAAACTCTGAATCTACGTGGAATACATACTACATAGGTACCCAAGACCCTATAAACCCTATAAGCCCTGGAAACCCTATAAAATCCGAGAAACCCTATAAGCCCTATAGGCCCTACAAACCCTATAAACCCTAGAAAACCCTGTAAACCCTGCAAACCCTATAAACCCTATAAACCCTACAGGGTAAACCCTATGAACGTTAAATCTACCACCCTAAACCCTAAACCCTGAACCCTAAACACTAAACCCTAAACCCTAAACCCTAAACCCTAAACCCTTAGGGTTCCTTCTCCAACTCCCCAGTAGGCTGGCGCCTCGGCCGCCACAACCTGGGGCCAAGCCAAGGCTTTCAGGTAGCGTAAGGCTTTCAGCCTGAAATCCGAACCCCGAAACCCGAAACCCGAAACCCAAAACCCGAAACCCGAAACCGGAAACCCTAAACCCTAAACCCTAAGAAAGTTCAGGGTTTTTTTTAACAGGACTGGTCACCTTTTTGCGGAATCGGGTTTTAGGCCTGGGGGAGTCCGTGATCGGGGTTTAGGGTTTGGGGTGTAGGACTTGGGTACGAAAGACTGACCCGAACGAAAGCTTTCTCTCAAGACAGCAGCTAGACTCCGGCCAGCCCTACGGCGCGATGAACCATGCCAAGGCGAGCTCCTAAACCCGAAGCCGTAAACCGAAACCCGAAGCTTAAGCCCTGTCCGCTTGTTACTGTACTATTGTACTCTGAAATTACCATATGACTATTCAAGCAGATTGTGATTTTCTTGTGTTGTTGTAATCCTATCCACTTGCTACTGTTTTTCAATTTGTGCACCTCATTTCACACGACCCTTGAAGGCATGTGGGATCGGAGTCTATACGTCCCAGAGCAGCCCCACTACATTTCACTTCTTCCAGGGGAAAAAGAGGCTATTGACCGGGGTTTGGGAAAACTTTCGATGCCCAGAGCTTTACACTTTCCGCATGAGGTGGGTTGCAGACCTGACATTCAGGGTTTAGGGTTTAGGGTTTAGGGTTGAGGGTTGAGGGTTTAGGGTTTAGGGTTTAGGGTCCCTCAGCCCTAAGCCACAAACCCGAAGGGCGTAGAGTTGAGGGAAAAGACGCAGAACGCAACAATGCACCTGGTCCCACGCCAGCTCGCACTCAGAGGCGCGATCCTCTATGAGCGTGGGAATGGCATAAGGAGGCCATAAGGCTTGCGGCCAGGGCTTCGGGCAGTTTAGGGTTTCATTTAGGGTTTAGGGCCCTAAACCCTAAACCCTAAACCCTAAACCCTAAACCCTAAGGTCTAGGTTTTCATTGAGGGTTTAGGGTGATCCCAAAACCCAAGACCCTAGAGTAGACCACTCCAAGAAGCTTCATAGGAAACTGCTGCTTTGAACCCTAAACCCTAAACCCTAAACCCTGAACCCTGAACCCTAAACCCTAAACCCTAAATTCTGAACCCTAAACCCTAAACCCTAAACCCTAAACCCTAAACCCTAAACCCTAAACCCTGAACCCCAAGCCCCAAACTCAAACCCAGGTGTCCTTGAGCACACGCTCGATCATCTCGCTGTAGGCATTCCGAGAGGCCAGGCAAACGAGACGACCGGAGGTCTGGAGGACTGAGAGGCGCCTTCAGGGGGCTTTAGGGGGGTTTAGGGTTTAGGGTTTAGGGGTTTAGGGTTTAGGGTTTAGGGTTTAGGGTTTAGGGGGGTTGTTAAGGGGGCTTTGGTGAGTGTAGGGGTTTAGGGTTTCAGGGCTTTAGGGGGAGCTGGGTGGCCTTGGGGGGCTTGAAGAGGTTTTAGGGGGCGCTTGAAGAGGCTTTAGGGGGCTTCGGGCTAGGGGTTTAGGGGGGCGGGGAGGGGGGGGGGGGGTGCAGGAGGGTAAGGTTTTGGGATGAACGCCTTCTGGGGCTGCAGTAAGGGGTTTAGTGATTGCTTTGCTCAGGGTTTCGACATCGAACCCTGCACCCTTCATGGGTTTCCCTACTACGTACCTTACAAAACCTTTAGAAAGCTGAATTATCCCTAAATAGCCTTTTTTATGGGGGAATGGGGGGGGGGAGGGTAGTAACCCCTCACTACTACCCCGGGAGGGGTAAACCCTAAACCCTAAACCCCACTCCTAAACCCTAAACCCCCTAAAGCATGAAACGCCCTGAACCCTAAACCCACCAAACCCACCAAACCCACCAAACCCACCAAACCCACCAAACCCACCAAACCCACCAAACCCTCCAAACCCTCCAAACCCTCCAAACACCCCAAACACCCTAAACCTTAAACCCTAAACCTTAAACCCCAAACCCTACACCCCCAACCCTAAACCCTAAACCCTAAACCCTAAACCCTAAACCCTAAACCCTAAACCCTAAACCCCAAGGCCCAGCCTTTGGAGCTCCAGGTAGGGGCCCGTGAGGCCAACCTCCAGCCCATCCTCCGAGACGGCACCATCCCAGAGGGTGTAGTCGCCTGGGCTGGAGGAGTTGGGTTTAGGGTTTAGGGTTTAGGGTTTAGGGTTTAGGGTTTAGGGTTTCGGGTTTCGGGTTTAGGGTTCCGGGTTTAGGGTTTAGGGTGTAGGGTTTTGGGTTTTAGGGTTTAGGACATAATGTAGGGAGGGTTTGGGGTATATAGTCCGATGCTCAGGCAACCTACGACAAACTACGTTTTGGGCTCATTAAGGTCCTAAACCTTAAGCCGTAGACCCCAAACCCTAAACCCTAAACTTATCCTGTGTTGCGGTTTCTCAAGGAAGGAGGGTCCAAGGGGGGCTCAGTACCAAAATGTTCCCCAACGTTGCTTGGTGATTATGCCTTATAGGCTTCCGAAGCTTCCCTCTGGTACAGCGCTCGGCACTTTTTATAAGGGAATCCAGAACCCCCCAAAAAAGATACAAAAGAGGCAAAAGGCTAGCACCGGGCTTCCCAAGTGCAGCTCCCCCCCCCCTGGACTGGCTGTGACTTGAGCCCGATTGGGGCTCGGGGAAGGCCATTCGGTGACATGGAATCAAGCCGCAGCCCAAACCCCTCAACCCGAAACCCTACATCCTTACCACGTAAACCGGGAAACCTAAATCCCGAGTCCTAAACCCTGAAATGTTTACACGAAAAACTCTCGGGCACAACCCTAAACCCCCCAAAAAACCCTAAACCCTATATAAACATCTTTTAACCTGCACAGCCAAGCGGCAATCAGAAGCAAACACCTTCACCTGGTGGCTCCACAGCGATGAGGAGGCGCGTCTGAAGACCATAGCCTCGTGTTTTCCGTGACTTTTTTGGGGGGATTAGGGTTTAGGGTTTAGGGTTTAGGGTTAGGGTTTGGGGTTTAGGATTTCGGGTTTCGGGCTTAGCAATTCAGGGTGTCGGGTTCGTCTTCAACTAGCAAAGTTCTCCGCGTCTCCCGCCCCCAGATGCTCTTAGCAGTGCCAGACGCCGCATACCCCTAAACCCTAAACCCTAAACCCTAAACCCTAAACCCTAAACCCTAAACCCTAAACCCTAAACCCTAAACCCTAAACCCTAAACCCTAAACCCTAAACCCTAAACCCTAAACCCTAAACCCTAAACCGAAACCCCAAGCCCGGCATCCCTACACTTTCGCAACCGTCAAGTGGCCCTCAAAACACGAGCTCAGCGGCGCAAACGGCAGCCATGGGATCTTCTTGCGCGCACGCGTAGAAGCCTTTCAGATCGTTCCTCGGATGCTCTGAAGATTCGGGTTTAGGGTTTAGGGTTGAGGGTTGAGGGTATAGGGTTCGAGGGCTTGCAGTTGCAGGGTATAGAGTTTAGGATTTGAGGTTTTAGGGCTGATTGCTTCTCAACGCAAGCCCTTCATAGAGCAATCTGCCTATGTATCATTTGAAAAGGGCAATGTTCAGTGTTCATGAAGTGCTGGTGCTTCTTTGCCTTGTTTTACAAGAAGAACTACGGGGCTATGTTAGGTTGCCGTCAGCTATGCTCTTAACTTTGTATCTATACATACAGGCTAGGCATTCTACCCCTCACCCCCACCCCCCCCCCCACCACACCCCGCTACCGCCACACCCCCACCCCGCTTCCCAAACAAGCTTAGGATATTCACTCGACTATGCCTAGGCTCCAGCTGGTGACGTTGCAAACGCCCGGGTCCAATTGCCTCATCCGAGGGCCCGGGTTTAGGGTTTAGGCTTGAGGGTTTAGGGTTCAGTTGCCTCATCCGAGGGCCCGTCATGTTGTGCCTACTGCCAGGCTAGCGTTTGGGGTTTGGGGTTTGGGGTTTGGGGTTTAAAACGCTAAACCTCAAACCTAGTATCCAGGGTTTCAAGTGTAGAGCTTCAGATTATGATCAGACTCAACTATAAGCGAGCTAGTGCAAGGACCACTGCAAGTGAGTTCGTTGTGTCAGAAATCGGTGCTCGCCATTGAACGACGTACGTTTTTTTTCACCCTGCCTGTCTCTGCGGAAGAAAGCACTGCCGTGACTTCGCTAGTAGGGCACGGGTGCTGTTCTTGCAGTATATCAATTATGTCATATGTTACCACACATACATACATACATACATACATACATACATACATACATACATACATACATACATACATACATACATACATTTTTACATACATACATTTTTACATGTATCATAAACAAAGAAATGAACAAACAAGTACATATGTGCATATATATATACACATGTTTATACAGTCCCCCGCGTCCCTACCAGGCGACAGACAGCAAGTTGTACCCGGAGTGTAACCCTTCATGCACCTGAAACACACATGGAAAGAGACCAACATGTAAGGTCCTACTTGGAGATGCAGGGTACTCATGACCCCAATTAAAGCTGCACTTAGAAGCCCCTAAGCGTCTAAGTAGGTTACAATACCCTGAATTACTTCTAGTTGGGGATATGAGTACCCATGAACCTCCAAGTAGGAAAAGGGTTGCGTGTCCCACTCTTTAGGGGTATATAGGTCAACTACTCTGTAGGTACAGACCAAGTATCTGAATAACAAAAAATGTAAACATAATATATACGCGTTATAGATGTATATAGAGGATGCTGTATACGAGTTTAGACGAAAACTAGGTTCACTCGAAGCCCCCGAAACCTTAGGGCCGTCCCTCGCCCAGGTGGCCTCAGGGCGTGCGCAAAATCTTTACCCTCGTCCTGCAACTTGCAGCCTGCGTCGTCCTTGGCCTGAATGAACCTGAGGGTTTAGGGTTTAGGGTTCAGGGATTAGGGCTTAGGGTTTAGGGCTGAGGATTTAGGGTTTCGGGCGGGCTTGGAGGTTTCACATGTTCCGGTGCAACTGGACCTAGAGTAACCTATGCACTCCTATACACCCTAAACCCCAACGCGACGGGACCTGCAAGCTGTCTTGAGCTAAACCCTCAACCCTAAAAGGGAAGCGACCTTAACCCAAAACCCTAAACCCCAAAAGGGGAGCTACCTTAACTAGCTTGCGTGCAGTTTCCCTTCCTGACCGCTCCCGATCATCTGGAAGAAAGCCCAACATACCCCTAAACACAGGATCGAGGTCGTGGCTAGGGTTTAGGGTTTAGGGTTTAGGGCTTAGGGCTTAGGGTTTAGGGTTTAGGGTTCAGGGTTCAGGGTTTAGGGTTTAGGGTTTAGGGTTTAGGGTTTAGGGTGCTCTTTAACTTTAGACCCTATAAACCGACCAAGGGGCCCATACTTCACAAGCCTTTAAGAAGGGTAAGGGACCAGATTAAGGAACCATGCAACTGCCCTTAAAGGAAGGCCCTCTTCAGGTAACCCTAAAACCCTTAAAGCAAAGGGCCGTAAAGCCTGAACCAGGGAACCGTGAAATCCCAGAGCCCTAGAGCCCGAAGCTCTCATCATCCACCCTAAGACGTGAGTCCCCCCCCCCCGCCAACCAAAGGCAGAGGCAAACCCTAAACCCTAAACCCTAAACTGGCCCTAAACCCTAAACCCTAAAACCTAAAACCTAAAACCCTAAACCCTAAACCCTAAACCCCAGGGCAGAGGCAAGGAGCAACAGCACACGGCCTTGCGCGCACGCCGCCCGAGCTGCGGACAGAAGCGCATCGGCCGCAGCTCGTGTTGCCTTGTAGGGGTTTAGGGCTTAGGGTTTTGGGCTTAGGGTTTAGGGTCTAGGGTTTAATTAATTCAGAGACTCCATACCCCGTTAAGTAAGGAAGATTCCGTAAAGTACAAGAGGGTTCCTTATATGATTGGAGCCTTTGGGTAGGGTTGAGGGTCTGAGGTTGAGGGTGTAGTGTTTAGGGTTTCGAGTTTAGGGTTTAGGGTGTGGTGTTGAGGGTTAAGGGTTTGAGGTTGAGGGTGTTGTGTCAGGGGGTTGAGGTTAAAGGTTTATAAGGTGCAGTGTTTAGGGTTTAGGGTTTGAGGCTGAGCGTGTAGATGCACCGAGGGCAGACAAGGATTGGGGGTGGCTGCTTGGGGGCCCGGGGTCTCTGAGTTGCTGGCTCGGGAAGCAGCAGCTTGAGAGGTCTGCGAACTGGCCGGCAGGCCCAACACGTTGAGCTGCTCACAAAGTCCGCAGTGTTTGGTCGCTTGAGGGCTTGCTCGACAGCTGAGCTGCTTTAGGGCCAGAAATATCGATATCAGAAATGACAATGACTCTGCGTCCAGCCCCTCAAGCTTTTCCGGCAAGTCCTGCCAGGATAGGGGTTGTAGTGTTTAGGGTAATCATGGGGTTTGAGGTGGAGAGTGTAACGTTTAGGGGTAGGGTCCAGAGTGTAGTGTTTAAGGTTCAGGGTTTGAGGTTGAGGGTGTAACGTTTAGGGGTGAAGGTTTAGGGTTTAACGTGTAGTGTTCAGGGTTTGTGGTCTACCGGGCACTCGGGAAGCCCAAAACATGATCGCTTGAGCGTAACTCGGGAAGCTTGAAAAAGCAAGGGTTAGAGGATGTACCTAGTCTTAGGGAAAAGTGTCGTTAAGGGTTTAGGGTTTAGGACATCAAACCGAAACATCCCCAAAACCCTGCGAATGGGGTTTGTGGGTGCAGGGCTCCTTGCATGAGCCGAAATTGGCAAAGAACAAAGCCAGAGCCAGGAACCTCGTCAAGAAATCTGAGTCTTAATCCGAAACCCAACCTAGAGCAAGCTCCTACACCCTAAAACCCTAAACCCTGAACCTTAAAACTTAAACCCTAAACCCTTCAGGTACTGGTCCCGTCCCGTCTTTTCAAGGGCACATGGACTCCTCTAGGCAGGCTCCATCAACTCCCGAGGTGCCCAAGTTGAGGGTTGAGGGTTGAGGGTTGAGGGGTTTAGGGGTTTAGGGGTTTAGGGGTTAGGGGTTAGGGGTTACAGGGTGGGGCCCCCTTACTATACTAACTGTAGTTAAGGGACTTATAACCTAACTTAGGGTCCTTATAACCCAATTTAGGGCCCTTATAATACTTATAACTAGGGGGCCCCACCTTGTAGGGCTTAGGGTTTAGGGTTTAGGGTTCGGGGTTTAGGGTGGAGGGTGTTTGAGGGTTTCCCACAAAAAAATCATCTAACGAACACAAGCAAAGATACGGGGCATATGGGTTGCTTTAGGGACCGGAACCTCATACTAGTAGTCCTGATAACTAAACCCTAGACCCTAAGCCCTAAGCCCTAAACCCTAAACCCTAAACCAAGCCAGAGGCACAAGGTCTTCAGAACGCCACAAGATGGCTCCCAAGGGCATTTGCCAAAGCCTGGGCTTGTCTCCGAGTTGAGCTACGAGGATTGAAGGGTTTAGGGTTTAGGGTTTAGGGTTGAGGGTTTAGGGTTTAGGGTTGAGGGTTGAGGGTTGAGGGTTGAGGGCTTAGGGCTTAGGGCTTACGTAGGGTTTAGGATGACCCAAGAGTAACCTAGGTGACAAAAGGGTACCCTTTTGTGGTTCGAAGGGAATGATAAGGGAAGGCAAACCCTAAAAAAGTGGGAAGAAGGGCCTACTCTGGGTCCCAGTCTTAATAAAGAAGGCTTAGTAATTGAGGCTCAGGGTTGAGGTTGTTCTTGTTTAGTTTTTGGTTTGAAGGTTCAGGGTTCAGGGGTTGAGGGTGTAAGGTTGAGGGTTTAAGGTTGGAGGCTGACCGTTCAGGGGTTAGAAGGTTTAAGGGTTCAGGGCTTGTAAGGTGCAGGGTTTAAGTTTTTGCTCTCTCTGGTCTCTAGGCCATCCTTTCTCATTTAGGAAATTCACTTTGCGCTAATTTTGGGGTCTACTGTGATATATTCCTTGTAGCTTAGGGTAGCAGATTTTTGCCTTGTCAATTTCGGGTTCGAAATTTAGGTAAGAGGCATGAATAGCTCACGCAAGGAAACACAAGCCCAACCTGGTTCAGGGTTTAGGGTTTAGGGTAGGATACCTCCTCTACGATTGTTTGTGCTCCTTGCTTACACTAAATTACCTAGCAAGTGCCCTTACTACAGGTTGAGGGTTTAGGGTTGAGGCTTGAAGGCTTAATTTGCACTAGCTGATAGTCGTTCCTCTCTGGTTTAGGGTTTAGAGTTCTTACTAGGGAATTTGGGGCTATTGAAACCCTCTCGGGTTCCTTGCAGGGTCTGGAGAAAGGTTCTTCATTGCTTCATTCCCCACCAAAATCGAAAGCGGTTCTCCTAAACCCTAAACCTAGACCCAGGAGTAACCTAGGAATGAAGAGGGTACCCTTTTTGGCCTTTAAGGGGGGAAAGGGGACCCCAACCCTTAACAACAAGGAAATAAGGGCCTACTCAGCTAAACTCGAACCCCCTGACCCCTAAACCCTAAACCCTAAACCCAACATGCACACTGGACGGCGCTGGGCGCTTGTCCATAAGCGCTGTTGCTCTCCTGCAGCTGTCCGCCTTTATCTGTTCTTTGGGAGTTTTGAGACCTTTGGGCAGCTAAACCCTAAACCCTA